TTATGTGTAATATCGCTCGCTAAAAAGTTTTTATTTTTGTTGTTTTATTGTTTGTATAACAATATTATCATACATTAACGACTAGTTTGAAAATTTCACCCGTCATTTTTATTCTGTTTTTATAATATAATCGCAGTCATGCTTGTGTCCTAATCCTCCTCCATAATCCAATAAATGACTGTTTTCCGACACCAGCTGTTTTCTCAGAAAAAAAATATCACGAAAAATTAGGTACAATTCTATGTTTTACACAAATGTTTCTCTGCTGTAGGTTAATCAAGAAAAAAAAGATACGATTTAATTTTCACCCAAGTAAATTTTTGGTTTTAAATCACCGATTATTCGTATTTTTTTGTATTTTAACATAGCATAAACCTTAAACAAAATTGATATAACAGTATTATAATTTATTATCAGCTAATTTCTATAATGTAACTTATCAACAAAAATCTATATTATAAACGTATAGTAATATATATATTTAAAGTCAATGTACGTAACTTTTTACTATACTTTTCTAATAATTACCAAAATAAACTTGACCATTATCTTATTTATTTATACTTGTATATAATTGACCAATTTCATAAATTTTATTAGATTAGTAGATATGTACATAATGTATTGATTGATGAAATACAAATAACAAAAGGTTTTAAATTTTAAAAAAAATAGTGTACTTAGAAATAAAATGTTATCTTATAATATTTTATTTTTTTATGTAAAAAATAGTTGAAGATTTGGGAAAAAAAAAATGCTTATAATATCAGGAAAAGTATATACCTTTATAAGCTTATGGTGTTCCTTAGGGTGCAACGCATAGGTATAACATATTATAATAACATTATAAGACTCATAAATCATAAATAGGTACGTCGATGTCCGTTGGTAATCTTACTTTAGAATAGTTTGTGAACGCTCTGCAGTATAGCATACATTATATTTTTTAATAATAATTAATATGTATAGATTTTACATTTATTTAATACACTTAGAACATACATTTTTTAAAACTGCATTGCATCAATAAGCGTTTTTCTTAATAATTATATTAATACATAAATATCAATAAAATTTATTAATACTTAGTTTATCTAAGACCACATAGTAGTCAGTAAATACGTATATACGTATGTTTATGTATTTATAACATATAGAACAGGTATACTGGTTATAAATTTTAATATTTAGTGATATGATATAGTCATAGTATTTTATCCACATTTTTATTTTGTTTGCTATGGTTCACCGGTGAAAATTATCAGTGCCTATTATTCATATAAATCGCTAGTAACAAAACGTGTATAATTTTCATAATGATATAATATACGTTTTGTAATATATTCTGTAGGACTAGGGTCCCACATATCTTATTTTGTATTTTGCATAGGTAAAAAGTACTTTTGCTCGAAAGACTTAAATGCAAAATTCAATGGTAGTGGAACTCGTGACGTTATTTAGTTATTATTGAATGTACTATGGCTATTTTTTACGTTTTCTCATAAATGTAAATAATATTACCTATAGTTTATAATAGATAGAACAAATAAACTGAATGTAAAATTGTAAAAACTGACATTGATTTTTTCGCATATTATGTCAAAATTAAAATATAATATAGGTAAATAAGTTACCAATGCACTTTTGATTTAAATTTGTTACACCGTGATTGCGTGTTCTGCACTCGCTATAATACTCTCCGCTATATATTATATATATATACAGAACGAGTAGATAATAATCATTTTTCATCGTATTATATAATATAACGTGTAATCGTGATGTTCTCTATATAGACATAGCAGTAGACTGCGCAGATACATACGTCTGTCGACTGCTATTATAATAATATTTATATATATATATATATAAATGTATTCGTCGAACCAGCAGCAGATAGTTCTCTTTCTATATATTATTATTATTACTATTATATTTTTTCCTTGCCCGGTTACTATTATAATATCATGCACGTGTACCTATGTATACCTATACACCACATCGGTGTTGTACACCTACCATGTTATTATTATTATTATTATTATTATTATTGTGACGGCACACACCCACCACCACCATCGCCTTGGCATTCAAATCTCAACATGTGCGTCACTCTTGTATTACAATAATATCGCGTACAGATGTAAGTACGTATGGGAAACATTTGTAACGACCATTTATTTTTCTACCTTGTGTATTGTTATTCCACAGTCTCCGTGATATTGTTAAAGTTCACTTTTTACCCGCGCAAATCACATCCGTTCCTTTTTGGAGTCGGTGCTTATTTTAAGCGCGATTTGTCAGACATACATTTCAGTATATTGCAATTGCACCGTTCCGAGTAAAATAATGATATATTTTACAGTGTTAAAAAATTGTGATGGATTTGATTTTCGTCCCTAGAAAGTAAAACTTTTTTTAATATTTATACATATCACCTTTGATCTATAGTGCCTCAACATTATTATAATCATATCATCATAGTTAGAAACATTTTATTTTCATCTCACTTCGTTTTGCATATTTTACATATTTAATAAAATGTAGTTAACGATGGATAAACAGATTATTACTAACTGATCTTATTACAATATTTATTACATATTATACTCGATGTAATATGTATGTATAATATCATAACGGTTGTGATTATAATAACTAATTAAGTACCTACCTACCTAACTAAACACCATTGCGTGTTGGTGTTAAAATCGGTTTTATGAACTGATGAAGTGTATTAAACGTATGTTGACCTCTCATAATATAATATCATTACATTATCTTTGTATATTTATGATATTCGGGTTGATTGACTTTAAATAATATTCAATTGCAATACATAGTGAAGTACAAGTACACCTATAGTCCATAAAACAAGTATATAGTTGAGTGTACACTATAGTAGTCATTCAGATGTAATGAAATTTAAATCACTGATGTTTACAGACATTATAATATAATATGTATGAATAAATCTACTATGATTTTTATTTTAGTATTATTCTATTAGATAGCCATACTGGACATTGGTCATACATTTACACGATTTTTATTTTGAACTATGGCGTTAATTTAACGAGTGATCTAAAACTGTATTTTCCAACTTTTTTATGACGGTGACTCACAAATTAACTGCTTATTGGATCCTCTATTAGAAAAAAAAGTATAGGATAATATAGTATTATTAATAATTGAGTTTTTACAGCAGCAATTGTAGCGTGACAATAAGCTTTCATTGTATTTTTATTTAAACGTTATAATATTCTGTAAGTTTGATTTTTACATTTAGCTATTTGGTATCGAGAAGTTTTTATAATTTAGAGGGCTTTAAACTTATATTGGCTAAAATTTTTCCGCATACAGCGCATTGTGGTTGAACTATTTCATTGATTTCATAACTTCGAATCCAAATTCGATGAAATCTGTACTTTAACTATGATTACCTGATGCTATTAATTTCATTTTTTTTATTGTACCTACTGAATCGTCTGGTGGAACAGGTTGATCTATACCACCGACTGTAGTCTTACGAATAATAAATTTGTCTATTAAAAAATTAAAACTTAATATATAAAATTTAATAGTTTTAAAATGAGTGTCTAATAGTAAACCAGAACTTTTCGTTTGTACTTATTCTCGCAGTCTCGATGTACTATTCATACTCAACTGTATAGACAATCGACCGATACCTCATTGACAGTCATTAGCACATTTACTGATAAAACAAATTTTAATAATAATTGCAATAAAATAGTACAAAAGTTATGGTGATATCAATTGTAAAATGTATGTCCTACATAGTTCATTCTACAATACTACTCGTAGTTAGATTTCACATTGTTATTATACTAAGAGGTATCAAATAAAACACAACTTAAACATTTATCAATTTATGATTAAATCTATTTAAATTTTTTTTATACATACAACATAGTTGCCTTATTAATTTACAAACACTGCAAGTCGTCTCCCATAGGTCGAGAAACACTAATCAAATCGTATAGGTAATCATAATACGGTTCTATAATGCGCATAAGTTACATACATAGATTCATTTTCGTTTTTTATACCCACATTATGCAGTATACTATATATATAAACGAAAAATCAAAAATACTCGTCGAGTTGTTATTGTTGTAATGATTGAAATAGCTAGATGATTTATTGTCGACGGGTAAAAAAATGTATATGTATAACGTATACAGAACGGGGTGGCAAGGTACACAGCAGTGACTACGTGTATATCGCGAGGGTGCCATGAAATGTAGGGCGTGACAGGTCTGGTGACCTATTTTCTTGGATTCCCTGCCGAGGCTCCGTGTATATACATTTGTATATATATGTATATACTATATATACATTATATACAGTCCCGGGTAGCGGATCGATGTCGGTAGTTTTTGGCAAAACGATATTGCCGTTTTCCTCCGAGCGTAGAAAATATAATGTACGCTTTTACTTACGATTTAAAAGCTCCGAAAACGCGTGCTGAACATATAATAATGTTATACATTACGACGTATAACTATTACTTAATCTAGTTTATTAAAAACACGAAGATTTAAAACGATATCCTTTACAAGTGGAGGAAGTTATCATGCAGATTCACAAACTTAAATAAATCTTATTTAGTTTGTAATTTGTATTTATAGTATAGTTTTACAAATTATAATGTTTATAAATATTTATATATGAGGATAAATTTATCGAGACATTAGTAGATACCACGTAACTGATATTACATGTTAGTCAATGTGTGAGTGTGAAACATATTTTGAAAATTAAGACCAACCAAACATGTAAATAAAAAAATATTTCTCTGTGTATTATTTGTAATATTTTTATTCCAACATTGCAAAAACATTTAGTGCCCTTATGTTAACACGATCAACTAAATTATAATAAACAACAAATTTTTTTCTCTCTTAATTAAAACGTTAAAATAATAACATTATTCTGTTGCGATTTTCAATTTTTATCAATATATATTTTGTTTACAGATCAACATTTTGCAGCAGCCGATTCAAACACTACGCCGGCTAAATCATTTGTACCATGTCGAGTATGCGGCGACAAAGCGTCTGGATACCACTATGGCGTCACGTCGTGCGAAGGATGCAAGGTATATAACGCTATGATACATAATAATTTATATATATATATATTACTTTAATTACAATATAATGTTTAATATGTATAATTTAGTGAGATTACGTACGTTTCAATTGTAATTTTTTACACTCAAGTTGTTGTTGATTATTTGATACACACGGCCTTTATAACCGTGGTGCATATTATAATAATTGTACATGTTATCTTCTGTGAGGAGTTTTTAAAGAATAATAGAATGCGCGCAATACGTGTGTCGCGACAAGAGATCACGGACAAAAAAAATTCATGCTATTGTCGTATTATCAAACTAAAAATTAATTACACAAGTTTTGGTTTACGTTTATATTAAATTTACCACACATAAAATAATGATATAATATACATATCTTCTCCGTCAATAACTTTTCATCTTCAATTAATAATTCGCCAACATAATTTTAGAAAACTATGTGTATTTCTGTATTATAGATTGTAGTAATTTATAAAAATTTTAAATTTACATAAACTCAGGATAATAAAATTAAAATGTTTGTTTTTGTGCTGCTTAATAATTTGATATTGTTAATTTATGTAAATCTTTTAAAATTGAACTACTTGTTTCCATTAAGAATTAAAATATAGTAATTTAAGTTTTAAAGCTTAGGTAGAAGGTGGTTATAAACTTATAGTTGGCAAATCGATATTTATAAAAACAACCATTATGAGACATCTTGTGTATACGTATAAAATATTATATATATATAGTTTGTGGAAAAGTTAGTTTAAGATTTTAAACTTTAAAGCAATGTACGAAATATTTGCATAAAACGTATTTCAAATTACAGAATTCTATTCAGAACTTTTTTTTATTTTATATCTGATTCAAAGTTTTTATTGTAAGATTAACCAATTTCTACGTATCTATTTGTTATTACTTGTGTTGAAGCAAGCTATAAGAGATACGAGTACCCTACACTCAACATCTGTAATTTGTAACCTGTCTGGTTTCTTTATTTTTTTACGAGCCTCACGACAGTATCCTTACCCCTTCTATTATAATAAATTGTACGGACTGAACCCCGAATCGAAATTGATTTCTCGAATACTCATCATACCCATACATCGTTCCAAGTATTCAGGAATATTTTTTTTGTACTTGCATACCTTCTATCTATGTACAATATCTTAATTGAACTCTAAAGTTTAGGTTCACTTCAATTTTGTTGTAATTCAAAAGAATAATAGTATCAGAAAATCTACATGTTTATAATATTTATTCGAATATACAGAAAAATAAGAAATAATTTAAAATAATAACTATAATGTTGATTTTGAGTTCAGTCGTATTTTTTTTAATTTTTTTTTTTAATGTAATATTAAATCCGTTCAACAAAAACTAAAAAGTACAATAAATGTATATATAAAGTTTGTACTGCATAGTCAAAATATTAAGTGTGTCTAATTAATTTAGTGGCATTACTAGGATGGTAATAATAAATGAGAACTGTTTGGACAGTACGTTGACTGCACGTGTGCGTTGTACGACTCGTCCATTTATTGAAAAGACTTAAACACACAATATTCTGTAGATACAACATATACACAGCCGGTGTTTTTATATATATATTTAAGCATATAATACATTTACACGTTACTCGCATTGGTATATTATATATATATAGGTATAAACAAACTGTTTTAATATGGAAGCAAATTATTGTTTTTCCGCTTTGATGTTTATGCATATAATATTTCATGTTTATTTTAAATAATTTATCAAATGCGCTTGATATGTGCTGAAAAAACTAAATTATAAAGTAGAAAAGAAATTACCCGGATCATTTCATTTTTTTTTCCAGTCCATTATTACGCACGATTGAAAAATTGTATAATAATTATTATTTCACGGTAATAAATACTATGTCCATTCGTTGCACAATAGCAAAACAAGAAAAAATAATAATAACAAAAAACAATAAAGATCATGAGTGGTTAAAATTATAAAATTTTAAAATTACATATACTTATATAAATTGTTATTGTATATTTTTTCATTTTATTCGAAAGCATATATGTATTATTATTATTATAACAGTCATCAGACATTGTAGATGGAAAAAAATGTAAACAGGTGGATAATGTGGTACCGTTGGACTATCCGGTTCTTTGACCTTCGACGATTTTTTTTTCTATCATTATAACATTCGTATAACGGCAACGCATAAGAACAAATTTTCTTTTCACTATGTCGCCCGTAAATTGCATAGCTCAACGATCCTAATGTTGTTCAACGCAGTGAAATGCATTGAGATAAATTCAAATAAAATAATTACTATAAATAATTTAAAAATATTTTTTACAGGGGTTCTTCAGACGCAGTATACAAAAACAAATCGAATATCGGTGTCTGAGGGACGGTAAATGTTTGGTAATCCGATTAAACAGGAATCGATGTCAATACTGCCGATTCAAAAAATGTCTAACGGTTGGCATGTCCAGGGATTGTAAGTACAATATCTTATACATTGTGTTATTGTGCAACTTTATAATTAATATGCCATGGATGAATATATAAAATATTCATAGAGTTGTTTGAGATTATTGAGATGTATAAACATCAAGAAAAATATTAAAAAACTCATTTAGAAATTTCCGACTGTATTATTATGCGAACATATTCGTCGTCAAGTTTCAAGAACAAACTATTTATTTCATGTAATGTATGATTAAAAATGAGACTGGTTTTTATAATAAGCGAAAATATGTTTTCTTTGTAACGTTTTAATGGTTTGAATATGCACAATAATATTTATGATTTTATTTTTATCAAAGTAAATTGAGTAATCATTTTAAAAGCACACGTTTTGTAATAATCTGCCAACAGCATAAGGGAAAACTGTTAATTCTTGTGGAAAATGTGCTATTTTTACAAGTGATTTAATAGGTCTATTTGAATGTATATTTTTCATTTTTATACAAGAAAATTATAAACAGTGCGTTGTACATTATTAATTTATGATTTAAGACTTGCATTTATATTTGTTTAAAGGTATTTAATTAATGTTTTAGATACGTTAATGTACTTATACGTATGTTATGAAATTTAATGATTAAAATTATACCTTATAATTGACGTTATAACGACTTGACTTTATATAGTTTTAATATTTCAAAGTTTTCAATAGAACAAACATAAAGGTTGTGCTCTAAAAATTAAATTATTAATCAATATTATTAAATTTATATATAATATTATTTGTTCAAAATAGTCACCATAATATTCATTATAATTGTTATTATTTAATACTTAATAATTTTTAAATTATAACAATCTAAATAATCACAATAATATTATAAACATCCACTTGACGAGAAAAAAAAAGAACCCGCTGATGTTTACTTTAATACGTTTTTCCCAGCTGTTAAATACCTGTACTAAAATATTGTCATTTTTGTTTTCAACGATTACAAGCCGTGTACTTATATGACTATTTAATTACGGCCATTCTAAATCCAAATCATAACATTGTCCGCAACCGAACAAAACTACAATAACAACAATATGACAAGTAACAACCATATTATAATTACAAACCATATACAATTGACGTAGCTAAGCTTAAACATATAGCATCTTAATAATATAATTTATCATAAAATATTTTGGGGGTGTGACACTTCATCAAGGGGACTCGCGACTATCCTTTTCTCCTTTTCCCTCTCTACACACCAACATACTAAGTACACAACATGCCAGTTCAGTCAACACGCCCGCGGACTATATGGCTTGTTACAAACACTTTTAACACCGGATTTGAGTTCAGTGGCCGAACGTCCACATTCAATACAAATCTACATATTTTAGACATCGCTGTACCGGTCGTTTTAAACGGCTCGAAAACACCTACGGCCACGTATACCTTTTATTGCCAGTCGCTGTAGTAGTATATTATATACATACTTACCAAATGTCATGCGACTCTTATAACGAAGTATAACATACATAGATATATGTACATATTTATTATTGGTTATTAATCTTAAACATACATTAATACGCCACTGGTATTTGTATATTATTCGAATTCGCCCTGGAAAATATTAATAAATATAAAATACAGAACTTGATGTACGTATTTCAGTTCGAAGTTCAAATCGGTATAGGTACCTGGTAGTGACACACATAAAGAGGTGAGGCTTAAGGATCAAATTCCCTATCCCCGAAATGTGCACCTTCGAGAAAATGTATTTCTACAAATATCCTCTTCTCTAGTATCAGTATAGTATGCAATTTCAAGAAAATAATTAATAACATAAACTCTGCTGAAAAACCTCTTGTATGCTACTGGTACTTGGCTCATGGCTTTGTAGAGAAATATGAGAAAAAGATGCGTAATCCACTTGCGACTGACTGATTGTAGCGATTCGTGTATTCTGGTAAATGTACTTCCCGTAAAAAAATGAGAATAAAATTTATACCACAGATCTTTAACATAATACGTAGAAGGTTCTATAGACATTATTATAAAAAATCGTTATAAAAACCAGATAGGTTAGGTCACCAAGGGTGTGTATTCCTATTTCGTTATTCAATTTTCCGGGAACAGGAATTGGGTCTATGAAACTATAGATACTGATTTGATTTGCACTATGATGTATTGATCTGTAAAGGTGATTACATGTAGCGCCAGCCCTTTACAAAACTATCCATTTCAATCTTCTATAATATGTGCATGTGTGTACTATCAGACAGTTTTAGGTTTGCCATCTATTAATTATAAAAATCATGGCAGTTTATGACTATAGGTACTTAGTTATTCTCCATTTTTTGATATGGGCAATATATATGTGGCTAATAATAGACATACGCGAATAAAAATCACGTTTTTGATCGTAGTATTGATAAATTATATTTATTTTTATTATAATTATTATGTGAACTTAATATTGTTACTCGTTGGTTCGATAATAATACTATTTTAATAGAAAAAAACATGTATAGGAACTATACTTATAATTTTAAAACAATAAACTCTTCGTTCGTTTCTTTTATCAAATAATAAAATCATGAATAGACTTCTTTACTCTCTTTGTTTCACTATTGTAAGCCCTATCCTTATTTTTTTTTATAAATAATGAAATTTAATTTTTTTATCTCTTAAGTTTAATATAGACTGGAATTCATACAATTTATATAGTATTATGAAATAAATTACTTAACAATTGAGTAGTGATCCTATTATGTTTTATTAATTTTAAGTCGGCCAATAAATTGTAAGAGATTGTTAAATTGTTATATTTTATAGTTATAAAGCACATGGCTCTAAATTATATTATTATTGATATCCCGGGCCTACTACTTATAAAATTTTATTTATATTGATTATTAACATAAATTAGAAAATATTTTAAGGTGTCGATATAAATAAATTAAACATATCAGTATATCACATACTAGTAAAGTATTTACATACAGTAAAATAAAAATCTAAATAAACATTATATGAATATCGACTACAATACTTTTTTTATGTAACTACGTTACATTACTTTTAATCCTAGATATTATTCATGTTCCGGAAAATAACACTTATCTAACTATATTTTTATATGCAAAAATATAGACATTATATTTAACAATGAAATATGTCATTCAACAATAACTTTAACCATTATGTGATAATTGTTAAAACCATGATAATTTTGCGGGTCGTACCTATCGTTAGTATTTATTTATTGGGATTTACAATATAATACTTTCGTTAGTGTTAGAGGTTCAGAAAAAATATTAGAAAAAAATAATCATAAAACATAGCTACTATATATTAGCTATAATATAAAAAATGATCGTTATTCAAGATTTACATGGGTTTTTTAGAAAAGTTATGGAGGGTGCGTTGAACATTTAAGTATAATACATTATAAATTTTCAAGTACTTAGTCTAAGTACTCTTACTACACCACCACCCTGCGCAAAATAAACCACTATTAAAAATTCGCAGTAATGCATAAAAAAAATACATGAACGCATGCGACAGTAATATATTATTATGTCATGTATCTTGAATTTCGCTGTACTATTATCTATCGACAATTATTGTTTTTTTTCGTTTGATCAACCGTATTGGATATACACGTTCAAATAGTAAAAATGTATAATATTATGTCATATACTTACATACTGTCGATACCAATGCTACAGAAATGTATACATAAGTAATCGAACACAGATTAGATACAGAAAAATATATAGTATATTGTTATTGTCAGTTGAAAACGCTCTCAAATACAGCGTGGTTCACTAAGCATGCTCACTTTCATTTTTTCATTAAATAATCAATTTATTCAAATAATTCCATTATTAAGAATTTTTAAATATACTCTAAGATCATAGTTTATTGCAAACTTTTAAAACTTTTATAATACTTAAATAGTATCCTATGGCAATACAAACTTATATTTTTCATTTAAGTACCCTTCTTTTTTTTTTTTGCTATAAATTATTTTGAGTTATCTTTTTGAAAATTATAATATGTATTTAATTTAAAAATCGATTAAGTTGCTTTTTAATTACTAAAATGTTTATATTAAAAAAAAAATAGTCCTTAACAAAAGTTTTAAAAAAATTCAAAATATTATATGTTATATTGTATTTACTGTCTATAACATCTATAATTTATATACTTATTACACTTGAAAATTTTTTGTAAATATCAAATAATAAATATTGATATCTAAATAAAAATTACCAAAATTTTAAACTAAACATAGCCCCCATATATTTTAAACTCATTATCCTGGACCGATTATCCGCAGTAAATAAATTTAAGTAGCTCAAAAACTATTCGTTCGAATTTTGATTTGTTCAAAATTTTCAGAAAAATTATCTGCTAAATTATTTACAGTAAAAAGGAAAGGTTGTCATTTAAAAGATAAAAGTTTGAATCTTTACAGGATTTTCCTAAAGTAGTACAAAACTCTCAAGGATTTTAAAGTATTTAAAAATTTCAAAATCAGATTTTGAATAAAATTTTTTTTTTTTTTTGAAAGATAAGAGGGAAGATCATGCTTGATGAATCATGTTATATTATATTACTTTACACGCGCTTATACAACACGCCGTTGTCACTTCGCAGAAATTCGATATACTTCATTGTCTATATTATTATTATTATTTTGTCACATAATTCATTAAATTCCAAAAGAATCTTTTTTTTTAAAACTACATCCGCTGCATTTATAATAGTATCTCCAATATTGAAAAAATAACTTATCTGTTTATAATAAAAATATGTACTATATACATACCAAAAAATAATATTATGTTATATTATATACCAACTATTTGTTATTAGTTATTACTTATTCTTCTATGGCGGTTACTCGCCTAATAATGTAGAAAATAAAATCACACTTTAGGTTAAGTTAGAGTTCTACATTCTAATTTATTTCCTCACCAACGATTATCACTGCAGTGTTATTTACATAATATTCATCATATCATAATTTTATTATTATTGTTGTTGTCATTATTATTTATTATAAGTTATAACATATACAAACACGATGACGATCACGATATTATTATGACGCCTGCACAAAAATGAACCTACACAGCTTTGCCAATAACCTATTCGAGCAACAAAGATTCAAAACGTCGAACGATATTCTATTCAAATAGAGGGGTAATATAATATAGAGTAATTCACCAAACCCATATTATAATTTAATAATGAAAATATTTAAATTTTAAGGACGAAAACTGGCATACTATTTTCGAATACTTAGAATTTTTATATGATTTCACGAGTGAATAATCCTATATACTATATAGTAGGTATACCAGGGTTTACATTACTAGAAAAATACGACCCAACACCATACAACGTGTATTAGCCTAATACCATACACAAAAATGACACGATACCACAAAAATCCATCATACTTGTGTAGCCTGTTACCGTATACTCTACATAATATTACAAACATAGTATGATTTTATTCATAGTATACTCTGAATAAATACAATTTCTAGCACAACCACCCTGTTGGCTGCTGCTACACCATTTCATATCAACTGCACAAACAGTAAAATTTGAGTGAATAAGCATACAGTCGGTAGTCGGCTAATGGAACTGGCAATGATAATAATTATTTATCCAATTTTAAAAATATTCCTCATCCAACAACAGCATAGGCAATTTCTAGACATTTCCGTTCATTATGTACCATATACGTTCAGGAGAAATTACAAGTCATATTTATTGTATTAAATTACAATCGTCATGTTGTTTAAATTTATGAGTAAAAATACAAAAAAAAAAATTTCATATTCATATCCTATATATTATATAAAAATACATTTATTTATTTATCACTATTAGTTGTTACTTGTTACGTTTCACTTTACAAATAATAGGTGATAAAAAAAAGTTTTAACTTTTTTTGATAATTTGATGTCATCGCAAAACGACATTGTTTGAAAAAAATTCTATTCTTAACGATTTTTTTTATCATTTTTGAGTTATTACTGTTATTTTTGAATAACGACATGCGTATATTTTTAATTTCATATCTTTTTTTTTTTGAAGTACGTTCAATATACATTAAAAACGAATTTCAAACTCGAAATTAATTAGTTACAACTTACTAGTATTAAAATTTTGAATGAGCGAATTATAGTAGACGAACATTTATTTTATCATATACTTATCGCGATTTGTGCGTATCGTTTTTTTTTTTCAGCCGTTCGGTACGGAAGAGTGCCGAAGAGGTCTCGCGAGCAGCTCGAGTCAGAGTCAAAGACCGTGTCGGCCGCCGATTCGATGGCGGCGGCGGCCGTACAAGTGACCACCACGACGGTGACCACGACGACAGTCTCTGCGAACGCGGCCGCAGCTGTTGCAGCCGCGGTGGCCATAGGGATTGGCGGCAGTGCGCCGGCCGTGGCCGATCCGATCATGACTGGCACTGGACCGGCCGCAGTGATCGAGACCAACGGTGGTAGCGTGTCCATATCGTACGACGTGATTGCGGCCATATCGCAAGCACACCTCACCAACTGCGATTACACGGACGAGCTGACCAGGACACTACTCCGGAAACCCGTGGCCTCTCCAGTAATTATTCCCTGCGATATTTATTAATTATTATTGCTATTTGGTTAATTTGTATTTGTATTATTATTCGTCTACAATCGTACGAGTAATATACCCTATTTCAGCGGTAGTGTGACAATAATGACTAAAAGTTCAAAGACGCACATAAGCAGAAAATATATTTTAATTCCGTACCCTTAAATCAAGTCTTAATGTACTTAGATGAAACATAAAAAATAATTTTAGTCAAGTTACGATCATTTTTCAATATGTTTTGTATTTTGATTTACATGGACAATATCGTAAAATAAAAAAAAAGTCATTATCATTATTATTATTATTTGAAATTAAACTCGTTATTATTATTTACTTTCCTTTATTAAATAGTTACATAAGTGTTTTTTCCAATTAAAACTATGCATTTAAAAGGGAAAGTAATAAAATAAATTAAAATAATAAAATAAATTGTCTATGATGTCTTATAATTATTTATAATTTTAAATAAGTAGAATTCATAAAATGTTGAATTCAGAATTGAAGACAATGATAAGCTCGTGTACTATGAAGGTCACATAACATGATGTGATTATTTTAATTAAAAATCGTGGAACATTATCTTTTTTTTGTGTCCTCATGTTGTAGTATGTAATTAAAGTAGTAAAAAATTTTTATTTCGAGACAAAAAGAAAAATATAATGTAATATAATATAAATATTTATTCATTATAATTGTTTGCTGCCGTATTATATCTACTTCGTTAAAACTTTAAATGAAAATAAATATAACTGATTTAAATAGAACATTTTTTATAGGTACTTTACGTTATACGATTTTAGTAATGAATATTCTGTCAACATCATACTATTTAACCATTTTTAATATTGCAGTTTTATTAATTTTCATTCGAACAATAAGTGCAGTTTTTGTTTTTTTGATCAAAATTATGATAACACAAATATTCTGTTGCGTTTTATACTTTACGTAAGAAACAAAATGTAGTAAAATGACAGTTAATTATATTATATATCAACTATATACACCTCATAATGTATCCATTGACACTTTATAATAATTATTGTTTTATCATATTATGGACATGATGGCTATTGTATATATTAACTAATAATTTCTAATAATTTTTTTTTTTTTTGCTTGTGAAGCCCGCCCAGGGATGCTCCAGCCCAGAAGTAGCATCGTCAACAGCGGACAGTGAGGAACAGCAAAAAATATGGCTGTGGCAACAATTGGCCGCGCACATTACACCGACCGTACAGAGGGTAGTTGAATTCGCGAAAAGAGTACCGGGTAAGAAAATATAATTTCCCTTGAGATAACTTATGTGTATATCTTAACTCTTGAGATTTTAAGACGTTTTCATCAAAGTGACTTACAACTTCAATAAGCCTTATTACACTTACATTGTAAATACAACGTGTACTTGAATTAATGGGCATATTAGCACTGATTTTACGCGACTGAAAAGAGATATTACTTTCATAAAACTTATTTGCAATCGATTACAAGCAACTTAAGAAGACATAATTTATTATATTTTATCTAAATACAGGGCTTACAGTAAAAATAACTATCTAACACAAAATTCTTTTTAATCAAAATTTTAATTTTGCTATATTTTATTATCTACATTATTTTGTTAATTTTTTCTTTTTTACTCTGTATACTGTATACTGTCCCTGTCTATTTATACATCAAAATTGCGTTAAATACAAATTCGAAATTGTAGCATTGTAGCATCAAGGTCAATATGATTAGAATTTAAATTATATTAGTTAGCGGATAATATTTCGTATATATTTTGTAAAATACTATCTAAATAAGGAGTTAATTAGTTATAAGTGTTATAAGTTTAAATTAGGTCCACTAATTTTTATATTTTAAAATTCTTAGAATTAAATTCGAAATTGAATTATTGATTTTAAAATCTATACTAATATTTTAAAAAGAAAAAAGAAAAATAAATTAAAAGTTAAAACGATAAAATTAATATACAAATATAGTTTTTTTTTTTTTTTAATGTTGTTTTGCAATAGAAAAAATGTATCTAAAAAATATTTCAAAATATTTGATATTTTCCGATAATATTAGTATTTACCTTTAAAATAATCATCTTCACATATCGTACAATAACGTTAACTTTATATTTTAAACTTTCAAAATCGTTACGGCCGCTTACTAATTATATGTCATTTGCGTTTGACTATTTCATTTTAGGTTTCGTAGACCTCAGTCAAGACGATCAGCTGATTCTCATTAAAGTGGGATTTTTCGAACTATGGCTGTGCTATGTGTCCAGGTTGGCTACAGACCTTTCACTCACCTTCTATGACGGCACGTTCATCACACGACAGCAACTGGAACTCATTTACGATGTAAGAATTTCATTCAAAATTATATGTATATGTAAATCAATCGTCAAGATCGTCGTAAACCCAAATTATCGTCCTAAGTCTTAACCTTAGTCAATAATTTCGTTGTATGCCCCGTATAATTTTTCATTGAACAACATTGAAGCTACGTAAAAAACATACTAAGTTTCTGGTTTGTATTATGAAATATCCTAAGTGTACTTTTAATAAATTCTATAGAAATTTTTTTATTAGCATTGCTTCCAGTGAAATAAATATACCACCGTATGAAAATATTTATATACAAAAATAAACTGTCATAGATAATAGAAATACCTCCAAATATTAAAAGGTATTTAAAATATTTTTTTAAGATTTTAAAATACATTTCGAAGGTATTTTTAACAAGTACCTTGAAAGTAGTGTCAATGAATGCTCCCTTCTTTCACATTTTCAAGTCTAGTACAAATTGTTAACTTAATATATTATTTTGTGTATATACAAATTATAAATGTCTTTTAAAAATGAAAAATAAATAAAAAGCAAGTATCTAAACATTAAATATATATATTTACATGAAGATATAGAGCCAACGTTTGCGAGCACTCGTATAACATTTTCGATTTAAATTTTCAATGAATATACTAGAATCCTATAGATTATATTAAATTTGGTGGATAGCCAAATGGAACACCCAATTTAATTTGGCTACCAAAAAACATATTTTTACCTCATATGCACAAAATTGTAAATTTCTAACATCTATTTTTGTTAAATATGTATAATATATTTGCGATTCAATCTACCTATTTTCCAAACTAGCTTAAAAAAAATCTTTATGATTATTAAATGATTAGGACAATAATATAAAATCTATTGTTACAACTACCCCTGCATACATTTTAAAAATGAACATACTACAATTCTACAATAAACTAAAATATTGTTTTTATTTCTTTGAATATTCGTTTGAAATATTGATTTTTTTAATAATTAGGTTTTTTTTCTCCTCATAATATGATTATAAACAAAAATATCTACCTACTGGGATAGTATACGTGTGTATATTTGTTTAAAGTTGCCAAATAATTCTAAAAATGTACTGCAGATACTACACTACGAAATAATTTTTCTCGCAGTAAAAATATAAATACGAGTGAAAATGCACACATGTACTGTTTAACCAAAACATCGTATTTTAAAAACAATTCACATTTAATCATAGGTACTTCTCTATGTTACTAGTTATTCTTGAAGTTTTGAAGTTCAAAGTTCAAAATTAAAATAAACACATTAAAGTGGTAATGCGTTTGAATATTTAAACTGGCGTAAATGTATGCATTAGAAACAATAAGAAAATAATAGAATTATTACGAGTTCGATAGATTGGGAAAATACATTTTTTCTAGAAAAGTCTGTACTATGTAATACAATTTTAAGCCTTACTCAAAATTTGGCAATAACTCAAAGAAGATCCCGTTTATTTTTTCACTTGAAACTGACCATACAATATTTTCGTACATTATTCAATTGGAAAGTATAAAGTATTCTAATTTAATAACTAAAACAAATGTATTAATTATTTGACACAGTAAAAACGTGCTCATTAGTAATAGTGACGGAAGCTTATCAATTTATAAGAATCAAAATTGTGTTCCGAAATTCGACATTAGAGCAAAAATACTACTGCACTCAAATATAAAGAGTATCCTATAAATTGTAATGATATTAGTGATTCGTATTGTTTGAATTAAATTATTTGTATTGATTTACTAAAAAATGTCAAGTTCATCACGATTTATCAAAATAATTTCAGGGAAATAAAATAAATGTACCTACGCACAAACTATTATCTTCCTTGAACACTTTAATTGTTGGTTTTATTCTATATCAGTCCGATTAGTATTTTGAATGGAATATCAATTACATTTCTGGATATAAAATAAACTTATGTAATAATCGTTTATACATAAAAAAAAAAGTAATAACATTTATAGTATCAATGATTTATGTTTTAATTTTTCAACGAAATCTATGACATAAAAACAAAAAAATATAGTTTGATAACTAAACTATAGTTTATTTAGGGTTTTGAAATTAAAACCATTCAAAGACAAATTATCGAAATATTGTTATCAGATCGCTTCGTGTCTTACATTTGTAAAAATGTATCTATAGCATAAAATATTGAACAATCGCTTTATTTTTTACTTAATTAAGTTAATGGTGAAAACAAAAATCGAATTTTCTAACATAACACAAAAATCATTAAAACTGTTAACATTCGTGCATCATTTTTTAACCTCGTTTTCTCCTAATATTTTATGAAATTTTTGACAAAAATTAATGAAACAACCATTTATTACCAAGTGTTCACCATTCAATTTATTGTTTTTATTTACGAGACTACGTTTTATTATCTACAGTTGGACTTCGCCACAGACGTGTTCCAGTTAGTGACATCTTTCAATAGTTTATCGCTGACGGATACCGAAGTTGGTTTATTTGCTGCCATCGTGCTATTAACGCCGGACAGACCCGGCGTTTCTGATGTCAAAACCGTACAGCACAGTCAAGACCGAATTGTTGAAGCATTCAAACTACAAGTGAGTCATCGTTATCGTTCTCTTTTTATCTTTGAAAGAATAACTGTGGAGAAAATGCCATAATTATTTATTACTCCTACGTCCCCGCGACCTTCTTTTTAGTATTAACCTTGGACAATGTACTTATAGGTATCGTGGGTGTTTAATAAAAGACATCAAATAGTGAATTTTTTCTAAAATATGATTTTAATAATATACATTCATATTATCTTTAAAACGATAGCGCAATATCAATAACTTTACATTGATTAAAAAGTTTTTAAGTTTTTGGTTTTAAAGTTCCAATAAAAAATACCAAAATAATAATGCGTATTCATAAGAAAACATGTAAAATTAAAAAATAACTCTGTATCACAGAGTGATAATTCTGTACACGGAAAACTTTTTTAATCTAATTCAGTGAAAATATAGTTTATTTATAAAATACTCAAACTTTATTGATACTACAGGTGGTCACTGTTGGAAATAAATATTAGTTTACAATATCTGTAGTAATTTTATCTCAACGTTTTTTAAATTATAAACATATTACAAGACATACTTAGTATATGCAAATGTAATTTATAAATTTTACTCCCTCCCCTCCCATCAGAAAAAAAATATTGAAGTAGCCAAAAACACAAGCATCAAATATTTAATTCGAAGATCGGAACACTCTTAATTTTAAGATCAATAGTATAAAAATAAATCTCTGTGAATTGATCATCAAAAATTCATTATTATTTAAACGTGATTACTAATTTTTAGATAGCTTAGATGATTCGTGCAGCCATGCTAAAAATGTCTGATAGATAATAATAAATTTTAGGACTAATATATGTACCAAATATTAAACCTTCCTCCCCCTTTTCATTATTTATACTCGTTTTTTAACTATGGTAAAGTGGATTCCGTACAGCCACACAATAGTAAACCCTACACATTACATTGCTGAGTGATATGGTACACGAATTTATTACGACAATTACAATAGGTAGTATTAATTTTAGGAAAATACTTTACGCTTATCGCCTTATAACACTAATCACCATACTAACTAAAGCCCCAAATGTTAAAAAGACTTTAAAAAACGTATATAATATTATTATTTTTTTAAATTTGTAGCTAAGCAAAGGTCATGGAGGAGACAAGAATTTGGCTCAAACGGTGTTGTCGAAACTGCCCGAACTACGAACTATTGGTGCCCGACACGTTTCATACCTCGAGTGGTTTAGGTTAAATTGGCACATGCTGAAATTGCCACCGTTATTCGCCGAAATATTCGACATACCCAAGTGCGAAGAGGACTTGCATCAAGGCTGAATTATTATCTTTCTATTTTATTGTTACAGGTTTTTTTTTTTTTTTATATTTACTTATAATGTTTCGTTTTTTTTTTTATTTAAAACGAATCGAATACTTCCTAAACGAACAAAATGTGTTTACAATCAAAATCAGAAAAAATGTATTAGTAATGATAATTTTTAACAATATCTTCGTAAAAATAATCTTGACACTTACGATAAATATTGTTAACGCGCTTCAGCCGTCGCCGTCGAAACATGCTTGCGCCCCTCAAATATTCGTCCGGTCGCGCAAGAGTACAACATAATCATCGACGTCGTGTCGATCAAAGATATATAATAATATATATATCTATAATACTACACTATTATAAAGAGCAATAAAATGCAAAAAAAAATTTAAATTATAAAAACAAAAACACTATATCGTCTAATATTAGAATAATTCTATGTAAACGAAATAAACATTTTATAAGTATTATTATATAGAATATATATAATAAAACATATGACATAGGGTACATGTACAACTAAACAATCTTGTATGATAAGTGTGTTCTGTTTAGTTATTTTATAGTTATAGATATTCAATGACGATCAAAATTTCATCTTACACATAGTAACGAATAATATACGCGTTCTCGTTTCTTGTTAGGATTCTCGCAACAATATATTAATCATTTTCATATCATGCATTTTTTTTTTTTTTAATCACATACCTAATGTGTTCATGGCTTAGTGGAGTGCGGATATAATATCATCATTTTCATAAAATATAATAGTATTATGATATAATTGGTTTTGTTAAACAATATTGTGTACTTAATATTTATACACACATATGTGTGTATTTTACGTATTTTACATTGTAATAGAGCTCCATTTATCTTTCTATGTATTACGTACGATATATTTGGCCTGAAAATGTTTTTTTTTTTTTTTGTCTTTGTACTGTGTTCATCATTGACAATCTTGAGTTCGTTTAAAAAGACAAAAAAATCTAAGCAATATTTTGTAATATTTAAATACTGTATGGTAAATATAACTAAAAATCAATTTTATCTTTTTTTTTTTAGGGAAAGTTTTTAATATTAGTTTTATTATTATTATTATTATTGTATTATGATTTGATTTTTTCGTACGTATTCTCTTTTTTTATAATTTCACTAGTCAACTGAAGCAATTTGGTCCAGTAACTGAGCAAACAAAAACGCTTTTATGTGATATATATTTTTTTTTTTAGTTGAATTTTGTGTTATTTTATCTTTTTACATTCCATAGGTACTTTTTATATTTTATTTGTAGGCAATAAGTCTTAAAATTATACTACATTTTCGCAATCTATTTATTATAGCTCTTACGCTGTTGTTGTTATTGTTGTTGTTAATCATTTTTTATTAGTTTTTACAAGTTAACTAACAGTGTACAACCGTTGTGTAATATGAAAAGTGCAATTTAAATGGGAACCACTTTTTAACCCGGATTTTCTGTCAATACTTCAGTATCTTTTTTTCTACTTCTCACTATGCAAACACAAACACAAACATGTATGAAAAATCATAAAATTAAAAACACTGGCACTCAGATACACTGACACACACACACACACACACACACACACACACACACACACACACACACACACATACATATTTCATACATACCTTACATACCACACTTAAACATTTATGTATTCACAGGGTAGATTAGTTATTTCAAATCGTTTATGTTGAAGAAAAAAATTACAAAAATGTTTAGAATTCCTTTTTTTTTTTTTTTTATAATATTATATATCATATCTTTAAGATTTTTTTAGAGTAATTTTTGAACACCAAGGTAGTAAATCGAATGTGTAATATAAGAAAATAATTTTAAATTTAAAATAAAAATGTTATAAGTGACAATCACAGATATACTGAAATGGACTCACCTTTACGTTTCGCAATAATTAGGATAATGTTATATATTTTTTTTTTTTTAGCTCGTAAAATGATTCAATTCGAACGAAAGCAAATAAATTGACTTTTGTTTTTGTTTATCCTGTTTGTATAAAGTTTTCTTAATTCGTTATATTATAGTCTATAATTTTCTTTCTATTAATTTGTTTTGTTATTATTAATTGCATTTTAATTAATATAATATACAATTGTTAAACATTTTTAGAAAAATTTGTATTCTATTTATTTTAGAAAATAGGTCATTATTTGAGTAGATGTGGTCCTCTATTTGTATTTCATTCTGATTAATTAGCCAATGCTATCACTAATAGAGAAATGTTATGCATTAGATAAATATCTTTTTTCTACTTTTTTATTGAACGAATTCGACTAGCATTATTTTGAATATTTAGTGTTAATTAGTATTTTTTATATATATTATATATATATAACCGAAATATTTACATATAACATGTTTACCTCGTTTTAAAAAGTTAAATTTATAAATTGACATATTGTAATATGTAGCTAAAAATGTCGATAATCGGAAAAAACAGTAAATACAAACATAAATCACTATTGTAATATTAAAAGATACTTTATTTATATCTGTAGCATATAGATTATTTGATTATTGTTTAGATTGTTGTATAAAAACACCACTTTTTTATTAGATCTTATTATTATTATTTTTTTTATTTAAATTTTATTGTTTTGTTCTAAAAATTTAAATTTACAATGAGAATAGTTAAATCTTGTCAAAATAATACGTAGGCGTGTAGTAGTGATTCTGCGTAAAGCTTACACATTTTACTTACTATTATTTATTGTATAGTATTAAGTATGATATTTTCTTATGTTTTATTTTCAAGCTCGGTATTTACCGTATTATTTAAGTATAAATTATTATGTCGTTGATGTTTATAGATAAATAGACTAATACTTATTATAATTACTTTTATATTATATTATTATAAATTATTATTATAACAACGAAGTCGTAGCTATAAATATTATACTTTGACAATGAAATTGCGTATAGGTTCGTATTTATTGTTTATCAGTATACATATTATACACGTATGTATGTACCTACGTATTTTGCTTGTTAAACTGTATTATTATGTTCAATTATTATTATTTTTTTATTGATATATTTTATTTAGAATAGGAACCCATTAGTACAGAAAATAAACCGATGATCGAAAAACTTCTTAAAAATGACGCATTATTCCATTTCCTTGGGTTCTTTCAAACGGTTAACTGCAGATCACATTTTTTGAAGCGACAATATTATACATGACGTAGATATTTCATAAGCAACTAATAATACTATAGTTGTCAGTTATTATTGTTTACACGTGTTTGCGGGTTTTTTAATGAGCAAGAAACAATCTATACTACTGTAAGTACGCAGTTACAAATCGAAGAAAAAACATTATAAAAATGTTATCATCGTAATGCATAGAGAATTATTTTCTAGATCTGCGTAATGAATCAATTCAAGTATGATTTGTTATACCGATTACGATTGGTACTTGTAGAGTTGTCTCGACATCAATATTAAAATATTTTAGTAAATAAACATTTTTTTAAGGAAAAATACAAATAATTTCCAAATAAACTATAAAAATAAATATATATTTAATATTGATAATTATTATTTAATTACTATTTAGTTGTATATTGAGAGTCCAAAATCGTTAAAGAAAGTTAAAACTTAAGAACAAACGAAAACGAAGTTATATTTTTAGTGAAAAAAAATACATTATTAAAAAACAAAAGAACTCCTGACAAAGAATACTTAAGTTTTAAGTTAACTGAACGGTAACACATTATTGTTATGCTTTTAATTGGTTCCAATGATTCCATTAATTTCTTATTGTATACTGAAATTGCTAATTTAAACAGAATATTTTAAATTAAGTAGGAACAAATCAAGAATTTCTATATTCTGTTCTCGTTATAACATTTGATTATATTATATTCTTTTTAATTTTACTCAGTCTATTTGATGTTTTTTTTTTTTTTTATGCGGGTAAACCAGTTTACAGTAAAAACTAATGGCACCTTAATTTTCAAAAATAGGTTTATGCTTTATTACGATTATTATTATTATTTCCTTCCACGTACTTTTTGCACCACTCAGTTTAAACACCTTGAGTCAGCACTGACCCCCGGGTGCAATATTTCCTAGATCCGGTTTTTTATCTATAGTAGATAAATACCTATTATTTTAGTATATAAGATGCGTTTTAAAAGGATCCCCAGGCATGGAAACGATTTATATTAATTTTATATACATTATATAAAATTAACGAATACACGTATAAGAAATACGTTGAATAACTGTTATTTATTATAGTGCATCAGAGTGATAAGTTTTTAGAATCACATCCTTATCTTCCAAAACACGGCCGCGTAGTCGCGTATACTCAGTAAAATTGATATATTTTTTTTTCTAGTTTAAATTGTTATCTCTGGTTATATATTGTAACGTAACATTTAATTTTTTCCACGAATTTTTATCTATATATCAATATAATAATATATATGATATTTATCAAATATTGGTAAGGCTCGTTTTTAGAAATCATATAGATGCAAAAAATAATATTATAATACCACTCATATTTATAAATATAATATGATTTATTGTGCTTTTGCCATATCATTATTATCGAGGTTGGACTTCGACGATTAGGTAGCCTCATTGGTCATGTTAGACGTATTTGCTACAACACAGTAATCACCATGATATAAATTAATTAATGTATAAGAGAGCACATTAAAGAAAAAAAAAATAATGCCTCGAAGAAAAGATATAATATTGTGATGTCAAAACTACGCAATTATTAACTCAATGCGTGAAGTAGAAAATTTGAATGTGACATCGAGCAAGAATAATTCTTAAATATTTGTCAAAATTGCGGAACATGTAAAATAATAGCCACTAATTATTAAGTGGTCATAAATTTGTTCACATTATCGTAAAACTATGGCACGTTCAGTGACTACATATAACTGTTAGATAAGTCATGTATTAATATAACGAACGCGGGCCTAAGATGCACGTAATTCTCTTTTATCACAAGTATCTGTAAGATGAAAATCAAGGTCAAATGGTAACATTATACTTTTTTAAAGAGGCATAGACAATAATTATAGTATAATGATAATGTTTTTTTTAAATATAAATTAACGCAAGCATAAAAGAATTTGTGTTTTTGTTTTAAATTTTGCATGCGGGGACATCGTGATCCACAAATAAAATTGTTATATGCCTTTCCACCTGATGCGTATTAACCAAAAACAGTAATAATAATACATTTTTAGTAAGTAAATATTAATTTTATTCATATAAAAAAATCAATTAAATAAATAATATAATTAATAACAAGATCTGGCATTCTAAATTTAAATACGTCAATCACCATCTACAGCTATAAATAGGGTATGTACA